AAATACAGTCTTAGGGTCTTCAGTGTTCTGCACTTTCAGAAACAAAATCATAAAACACACAAGTGCTTCTCTTGTCGATATTAAAAAAGCCAAATTTAACCACCTCTTGTTTCAGTCACAAAATTAACTGTTTAAAATTGTTAACACATAAATAAACTAGGAAATGTTTTTCACTAAGTAGTAGAAAAGGTACCTAAATAATCTGAAAGAAATACATATAGGATACAGAATAAAAAGCAGCTCCCTGACAGAGAAATACAGTCATCTCTACAGCAAAACACAGCAGCTCATCAGAAGTGCCTTACTAGAGTAAATAAAAAAATTTTTTAAGTTGGTGGGCTTTTTGTTGAGTTTCAGTTTTTTGGGGTTGGTGGGTTTTTTTGTTTATTTGGTGGGTTTTTTTGTTTCAGGGTTTGTTTTTTTGTTATAATACGCAAGGCCATCCTAGTGGAAACTTTTACAAGAACACAGTTGTTTCTACTTCAATCTCTGCCCAAGGACTCAGGCTAGACTTCCTTCTGAGAGACAGAGGAGCAAGGACTATTTTAGTGTTCTGGCCCTGACAGGGAAACAACAAAAAATAACTGCGGAAAGACACAATCACAGCACTCAGTTGCATACAGGATATCCAGATTTAAGTCCTTGGGCTCCTTACTCTACATGTCTCCATATCAGGAACAAAGAAATATCCCACTCATAGGTCTAGAGAGCTGATTTTTTATATAAAAAGGTGTACAAAACTGGTGTCTAGGTGATATTTTTAGTCTATTACCAGTTTTAGGAATAATAGTAACAAAAACACTTTATTTCAAAGAACATCTTAAATCCCAAACCTCAGCAAGACAAGGCTTATCTTACCCGAGGAACTGGGGACAGTGGTATGGGTGAGTGAACATCTAGCTCTCCACTGTGCTTGGTCCTTAAGGGCACCTCTCATACTTCTCAAATGAAGATGATTCTCTCTCAGGTAGAGATAATATTTGGCAATAATATGAAGACTATGCATTCAAATTAATTCTCACAATGTCCTTGTACAAACACTGAAATTTCAGTATTTCACTTTAAAATTTTAACAGATCATTTATATTCATTTTCTATAAATGAGAAACAAACAAAAGTATACTCAGTATGAGGAAATACACCCAATGCTTTCTAATAGTTTTCACAGAGAAATCATATGAGGCACAGTGCCATGCATCAGAAAGAGTGAGACAGACATTCAGAGACAATGAAACTGCAGAACTAACCCACCTTGACACAGAAAGTACCGCCAGTTTCCTTTGTGCAAGAAGCTGTTTCTAAAGTATCCATCCCACCAGGCAAACAAACACAGCTTTCCTTTGGAAACAGGCCCTGATAAACACCTCTGAAGTCCTCACTTAAAGAAAAGGACTTCCACTTTGCAAGATCACCAGATATTTTCCAAGTAGAGGAATGAAAAACTGCCAGACATGACATCTCCTAATAAAGCAGTAATTGGACAAGTACAGGCCATCACATAAACACCATCCTAACATTAACATCCAATCTCCAGTCCCAGCTGTTCAGTGTGAAGGTAAGTCCTGTACACAAGAGACTCAAGTGATTCCAGATTCTCAGAACTATCAGCTTTGTAATTCCTCCCTCCAGAGTGTGCAGTCTACAGCATATCCTCTTCCTGTCTAAATGGGTTTGGTTAAGGACACTCCATTGCAGCAATCAATTAAAAGCATAATTATAACTTACAGCCACAATAAAAATTTGCCATTTTCATTTAGCTTTCAAGAAAGGATTTTTTTTCTGTTGACAAAACAAGAATTATCCTCTATTTTACTTCACAAGATAGCCATGGAATTCTTTTATGTAAGAAATTCTAAATACCTGCACTTCATGCCTAAATTGATGTACAGACACAATAAAGAAGGGAACACAAGCTAGCACTATCATCACAAGTATCCATTTTGGAAGTACTCCTTTAGATTTTGCTCTTAGCCAAGGAAGCCTTTGCATATACCCCACTCCCACTGCTCCCTGGTTGTTAAAACATACATTCCCTTGACACACACAGAGAAAAATACTAGGAAATTTTTAATCATGGTTTGAAGAAGAAGCTCTTTTTAAAGCAATCTAGAGGACAGAACACAGAGACAATAATTTTTCCAAGTTACTCTCTACTTGAATTTGCTCTGAGGTAGGAAAAGTAACCAGCACAGACTTGTCACTACCTGATTAGCAATGCATGAATGGAATGTCCAAACACCTATGAACAGATAAGTTGCATAAGCAGAGTAAATTAAAACAAATAAAATATGTTACATTCCATTCTTTTACCCATGTAGTTTTTCCTTATCAAGAAGTGGCAGAAGCACCTTCACTATTGACCTTTACTGCCCTAACTTAAACAAGGGATAGATGCAGATGCTATGGCTAATGAAAACACATTATTTAACCTTTCATCTCTTTTCTTGCAACATCCCCATGACAAAGATGAAGGTTTACTACTATTCTTCCCCTTTGCATAAATTAGAATTGAAAAAAAATAAGTTTGGAGACTTTACCTGGAAAAACCATAGAAAACTTACTCAACAAGAATAGAGCTCAGATTGATAGTGCAAGCTATACACTTGTAGATAGAAAGGAGCCCACATGACTTTCAGCACTACAGCTGTGTTAGGACAAAAATAAGTAAACATAAAAATTCCCACATCATAAGAACATCATAAGAACTTTCTTTTAAAAAGAGCAATTGATTTAATCTGTGGCCCAAGCGTGAGATTTTAGAATCATTATGCCAAAATTAAGAATTTTTTTTTAATGGTGTAGCAAAGGGTTCTGCACCTAACAGGAATCTCATCCTCACAATGAGCTAGGATAACCCATTCCTGTGCCCCTTGTTTGAAGGCACTGACAGTGCTTCACCCCTGCTGAACAGACACATGGATGGCTAGTGTATATGTATGAATCATAAATCCTCATTTGTTAGTTGGTATGTGTACTTGCTGTCATACTTGGCCTTAAAATCCTCACTTCTTTTCCACCTGCAAAACAGGTAATGAGAATTATCTAGAAAGTGAACTAAAATGTCTTAGTGTCATTATTAAAATTTATCTTCACTGATAATCCCTTTAGTAAGTTTTTAAGAGAGTTAGCAATGGCAAACTAAAAAAAATATGCAAGTTCCACTAGTTTCAGACAAAGCTTTTTCAGATGAGAGAGAAATCACAGAATATTCTGAGCTGGAAGGGACCCACAACACTCATCAGAGTCCCACTCCTGGCTCTGTATATGGCCACCCTGGAATCATACCATGTGCCTGAGAGCATTTTTTGAACTCTGTGAGGCTTGGTGCTGGTCTCTGGGGAGCCTGTTCCAAACTCACCCACTACTCCCTTCCTCTCCTTCCCCACTCCCCCCAAAAAAAAGTATCAATTAATATTGACACAAAATTAGGTAAAGTAGAATCTCAATTTATGTTAAATAAATCTAATCCCAACCTATTAAGAACTGACATGTCTGAAAATAAGGACATGATACACATAGTTGTACATGCCACAAAAACCTTTGCCGAGAAAGAACTTGAATTCTGGAATCGTACTGCACTGCGTCATCCTGAAAGCTTGTCAGAGTATCAAACAAGCTGAAATGCTGCACAAAGTTGGAGCAGTTGCTGCAATTACTGGTTGTCTTTGAAAAACAGCAGCGTCTGCTCAAGTGGAAATATTGATTCCTTAGGGATGTCTCTTTCTCTACAGCACTACATTGCTTTGGAGATGGATTATCCCATAGAGACAGTTTCACAGTATCTGTCACTAAACAAAACTGAGCTAAATTCAGGGTCCTGACCACATGGATTAGGACATGGACAGCCAAGGAATTTTTGCCAATAACAGTCTTAGTGATATCTCAGTGATTTCTGCCAATAATGTTGGCCAGAAATCTAACCCATTAAAAGCTGATTTCATGAGTTTCTGCTTCTTTCACATTCCCAACTCCCTAGGTAGTATCTAGTAACACACCTCTACCTGTGGCAGTGCCCAAACTAGAGAGAAAGCAGTTCTGATCTAGAATGACAATTCCCAAATTCCTAGAATTACAGCCAAACAAAACTAATATTAAATATTCTTTTATACTCAAATGGCTTCATGTAAGTCTTGTGTGAACATTAAGTGAAATGGCCTATAGGCATTAATGTATATTATTTATATATATTAATATGCACATATATCGGTGTCTATAATAAAGTGCAAGTCCAGAAGTAATACTGTCATATATAAGGAATAGATAATATTTTACAGAAAAATCACTATCTATACTTACCATAATAGCAACATAACCAAACTAAGAGCAGGTGCAATCACAAATCTCAGTACTTTTATGTTTTGGGATGACAAGAACAAGCACCTAATACTTCTTTGAACTCTCCCAGCATCCAGCTACCAAAAGCCAAATCCTGTTAAATATTAAAATATGTAGTAGCAAGCGCTACACAATGATGTGCTTACAGGAAATCAAATGGGATACAAAAATCACCACATGCGATGTCCTCTTTGAGCATAAATGCAAAAGGCAGTGAGACAGTGGTTTTGTAGAACCTACCTTTGTACTCTCAGAAACATGGGTTACACCAGAGGCCATCCAGCTACCAGCATACAGCAGGCAAGGGGCACTGAGTGTTGACTTTACACAATGAGCCCCTTAGTCCAGCATCTGTAATACTCTTCCGGAAGTGTCTGTGCTCTAACTACACAGAGTTGCCACAGAAAACACATATTTTCAGATTTGGACTGCAAGGACCAATTGCTCCCAGGCTTCTTCCCAGCATGTTCTAACTATACCAACAAGTGAAGTCCAAGAACAAGACAGGGTAGATGACAGGAGCTCATGTTTCAACAGAACACTACTAGGAGCAAGTCTTAGGGTGATATGGGGAAAGGTAATGTTGCAGAGGAAAAATCACTGCTGGAAAGATAATCAAATTTTTACAGAAAAATTTGCTTTAAGCTCCAAACTGTTTCAATTACCTTCTGGTGGTGGTGGAGGGAAATCCTCTGTGTCCATTCTAGTGTATCCACCGCACCTTTAGCAGATTGGAAAACTCTGCAAAAATGAAGGGAACATGTTTTGTAGATTAACTCAATTTCCAAATACTGAGACACTCCTTTTCAATTTGGCCAAGCTCATACCTATTAGCTAATACCATTATGGAAGAGAGGAAATTTGCCTGGCTTCTTGCTTCAATGTGAATACAGTCCAAAATTTTATGTACACAGCCCTCAGTATTGCAGCCAATTCTTTTCATGATCTCAGTAAGACAGCTGAAGAAAGATGAAGTTTTAAACTATTTGGTACTCTGCAGTTCCCTCTGTGACAATCACAAGGAGATTACTAAAATATGTTATTTCAATGTCTGTTTGGAGTACATATTCCATCTCAAAATCTTTGTGAAGGGGTGAAAGATAAAAATTCTAGGAAGCTTATCAGTTTTCATAATGCTTTTCTCTATCCAGCAATCAGAAATAACAAGATTTAATTATACACCCTGTACACAGCTTCTTTCCACTGTTTGGTTTTTTTCGCTAATCTTAGAAATTCTGCTTGAGTCCCTCTACTCCCACCTTTCCTAAGGAGAGTGAAGTACTAGTAAGCAAGTTCCTGAGGATCTTTTCTTTCATCTTCTTTTCTCAAATGCCATTGATCTCATGCCTTAAGGAAAAGAATAACTCTACAAAGCATTCCCCTACTTTGGTACTCAATACACAACTGAAGAGAGCAAAGCCCAGAACCCATGAGAGACGTCATCTCTCCTTCCCCATAATGCTACTTAATAGTGACATTCCAGTATCATCAGGAAGGAAAACCTACTGTACTAAGCAATGCACACATTCTGCTCACAGACCATTTTCACTCAAACTCAAGGGACAGCATGTCAAAAAGACAATTTCAGAATAAGGCTGAGGAGGAAAAATAAGTTTTCAAAAGCTACAAAAGCCAGTGGAAGAGTCAATTCTGAATTTACTTCCTACTCTTGAGTGGCCCATAGATATTAATCTGAAGTTATATCTTCTGCTGGTAACAAAACAGCTCGAACCCTTGTAAAATCTCCATAGCCCAAATATGAAAGGATTAAGCTGAAAGAGACAGTGAAATGCAAGGTACAGTGGCAAAATATTAAACTAAATGGATCAGGATACAACAGTCAAATCACTTGCCGCTTTCAGAAAAAGTGGTAGTGAATTAAAAAAAAAAAAACCAACTTCAAAAAAGGATCCAACCCTAGGAGGCACCAGGCAATTTACCTCACTAACATTAGATTTGCAAGTGTGAATTATCAGGACAGATGTGCCAGGAAGGATAACAACTCTGGTAGCGCAAGATCCTGTTATGATGAGACAATTCATAACAACGTCATTTACTAAGCATACAAAATTCCTTTTTAAACTGTCTTAAGCTTTGGAAACTCTTAATCCAGTCCTAGACAAAATCAAGTAGCTTCAGAGCCAAGACTCAGAAAGGATTCACCCACATATACAACACCTGTCTATAACACAATATGCTTTCAGTATACAATGTTCCTTCTAAAGCTTCTCTACAGTTTATATCTGCAGGGTTCCAAGGCATGTTCCTGCTTACAGATGTCTGGAATGCATCCTGCCACACCAAAACTGTCAGCCAAAACAAGGGATAGTTACAGTTTGAAGAAATGGCTATTTTTCTATATTTTTTTAAAGCTGCTCATGACTGGAGCATAGATTTTCAAGTGTGACACATGTAACAGCCAGCAAACCTCTGAAAGTGAGTCTCAGCACCTTTTCCAAATGCATCTTTGAGTAGCTAAAAGGCTTTCAGAATGATTTTTTTTTTCTTTAAAAAATATAATGCAAACTTTTAAATATCTATCAAAGTTAACTTCCAACAGTGATATTTTAAAATCAATTCCTTTGTCACCAGCAAATATTAACGAGACAGAGCTGAACCAACGAGCTTGATTTCCATTTTGATCTAGCTCAAAGTGACATGCTTCAAATTACACAAGAATTGTGTAAAAGAAGGACACAGACTCAGTGTTAAGAGTCCTACCCATGACCTGCTTGCTCCCATCTGAACAGTGCAGTTATTCACAAGAAGAAAGATACACTTTCTCACTTAAGAATGCCCCAGGGGTTGATTTATACATTACATTAACTCATTTTGAAGCTCCACATATTTTTTGCTACTTTTTAGATGCTGAGAAAAATCCTGCAGCAGGAAAGAGAGCTTGTGTATTACAGATTACATTAATACCCTCCAAAAAGAAGATAATTGCCATAATGTAGCAGACAGCACATTTATGAACAATCTCTAATACCACCATATTTCAAAGAGAAGTTTTTCACTCTTCTTTAGAGAGGCATGGGAACTAACTCAGCTTAAAGATGTTTAAATAAATATTAAGGTAGATGATTTAATTTAACTAGCAGCATATTGTACATTTGCATTTGTAGCTCAAGTGCTTTTCACATTGATTCTCCTCCTAACAGAGATACACAGCATAGTTTACAGGTGAATTTAGACAGTAATAGTGAAAATCAAAGCTCAGATTAAGCTGAAACGGACTTCTGAATGTTCTCTAATACACTCAGGACAGGTGTTTTCAAAATTAAATAGGGTTGCTCAGGGCCTTTGTTCCCCCAAGTTATGAAACCCCACGAAGGTGGAGGTTTCACCACCCCCCAGAGCATCCTGCTCCTGAGCTTAACCAGAAATTCCAGGAAGAGTTTTCCCCGTAATCCCAACTGGAGCAGTTTGCAGTCATTGCCTCTCATTCTCCTGCTGTGCACCCCTGAAAAAAGCCTGGCTCCACCTTCTTTCCAACCCCGCCTTGAGAAGCAGAAGACTGCAATTCAATCCCCCTCCATCCTTTCTTCTCAAAACAACACAAACCCAGTTCTCTCTGCCTCTTCTGACCTCTTCCCACCCCCAACCATAGCACTGGCCTTTACTGGACTTGTTCCAGTTTGCTAGTTCCTCTCTTGTACTAGGACTTCACAATGAACACTGAATCCCAGATGCAGCATTGAGACCACTGAGTAGATGCCAGTTGGTTTAACATAAAATTACATTTAAAAAATTAACAGCTTTTAAGACACAGAATATTAAGATTTGGTTCCAAAGGTACTTTAAAAACTGCAAAAATAAAAAATCCTTATTAAACCTGTGTCATTATATTCATGCATATTCCATCATAAAATTACAAATATGAATAATTGCCCTGACCTACTCAAAATGACATAGAGGTTCTAAAAATTTGGAGCTCTTTTCCCTCATGTAACATTGTTTTCTCAAACACAGTATAACCTGTGTTTAATAACTCAAACTGCACCCTTCCTGACTCCACAGCAATCACAGGAACAAAGGGACAGCAAAAAACTCTGAGTTACATAGCTGAAAGTTTAACATTTCCCACTGGCATCCAGATGTGAAAGGAATTTACCTGACTTGGTGCTCATCACTTTCTTTGCTTCAGATGTGGGTAGAGATAGCAGTGACTGCTGTGGGCCACAAAGTTGGTCTACAGATTGTCTCCTTTCCCCACCTTCCCCAATATTTCTCCTGTGTGTCCCATGTACAGGGGGAGAGGAAAAGGAGTTCCTGGACCTTTGAAAATGGGCAACTGACCCTCTCTGGTCTAAACATTTCCAATGTCTACTTCCTGCTGTTTTCATCCAGTCCTTTCCTGCCAAACTGTTAGGAGGAACAGGTAATTCTTACTCATATTTACAGATTGGAAGAGGAAAGATAGTCTTGCGATTTTTTAAGTTCCCAGTTTATCTGCCCACTTATAGCTGAACCAATCTATCTAGGCAAACCCCAACTATCCCAATCCTAAGGGACTACCATTAAAAAAAAATACTTGTAGCACAATAGCATGCTTTTATTCCAGATGTTTAGCTAGTAACTTCCTAAGTTTGGCACTAAAAATCAAGAAAAATTATAATAAATGCATGCATTTTCAAAGAAAAAAAAATGCAACAAGTCCTTTATTATACTGCAATATCTTTAGTTCCTTGTTGCAGTGTGTTTCTTGTTAATGGTATGTTCTGTTATTGGCCAAGTTGATGGTTTGGTCCAAGGTAGACTCTCCCACCCCACGTTGTCAATCTACCCTGAGTCTCCTGTCAATCCTACCTTAGGCCCACCGCATACTTGGAATTCCACTTTGGAATGCTTTGTACCCTCCGTTTAAATTGCCTCCCTATTTCAGCTGTTGCACGCTCGCATTTTCTGTCTTTTGCCCCCAAGATTCCCCAGAACAATAAATCCTTCATTATCCCATGCAAAAGACCTCCCTCTCATCCTTGCCTCCTCAGAGCACAGACTGACTAGAGTAGAGCAAGTGCTCTACTCACACCTCGGGTCATCCTGCTCCTGGGGTGTGACCCACTCCTGGTGCAGGCTGAAGTGACAGAGCCAGATAAGCACCAGCCCATGTGTTAGTTCCTGACCAAGTTTGCAATGCTTTCTAAGTTTTAAGTTGATTTGTAAGGAAAAAATAAAATGAATTAAAACACCACATTAAAACCAGATGTTCATGGGCAATGTTTCTAATGCAGAGAAGTCTCCCACAGTTAAAGGAGTCAGATCTCCAATGGCAGTCACACTAGAAACCAAAATCCTCCAAGTGTGAAATGGTCCCTAAGGACAGCTCCCAATACTTCAAATTTTCCACCAACTACACTCACCTTTGACCATGGAAGCTGGCACTGAAGGAAGTGCAAGTCTGTGATGTTCCACAGCAGACCTCACAAACACAATGTGCTAATACCTGCCAAACCTGTGAGACTGAGATTCTGGTTCCACAGCAAAGGGCAGTTTCAGCAAATGAAACAAAAGCAAAGACACTTTTATGCTTGTCCAAAGACTATAGAAGAATGTCAACATTTCTCTCTCACACTCAGTTTTCCTTTCTCCTAACCTCTGGTAATTCCTTTTGCCTCCAGGACTAGGTTTCTCAGCTGCTTCTACGTAAGTGATTTTGTTCAGTGATTTCCTCTAATTGTGGGACAAACAACAGACTATCAGCTCTCAACTAAAGGATTACAAATACTGATCAACATCTGCATTTCCACTTCAATAAAACTATTTTCCGACAGTCACTACTTGTGCAGAAGTCAGAATGCAACAAAAATGGGACTGGCACAAACTGCCAAAAGGCAGTGCAGCATTCAGAGCTGGGGCACAGTACTTATGTACTGAGCTCCCAAAGGGCACATGCTGCTAAGCTTTCTCAGCTCTGTCACCCTAAGAACGGTACAAGTGACTCACATACCTTCTCTTTAGGGTGTGTGCACTGTAACTGCAGCAACATCAGGAGTCTTCATTCTTAACACTGCAGAGAGAATGAACATTTTATAATAGGAAACAGAAGCTGAATCAAGGAGGCTGATTTCCAGCAAACTGTGACTTGTTCAGAAACCTTAGTCCAAGCAGAAATGCAATGTCTCCTAGAAAGCCTGAAAGTCTAAAAAACAAACTAAAAAAAAACAACATCAAAACAAGAAAAGTTGCAAAGGCAAAACTCATGAATGTCTAAAATCCCCTTGTTTCCACATCACTTAGTGAATATTGCTGTATAATGCCCAATTGAGTATTCCGCCTAGAACTACAGAGGTCCCACTGGGAAGTAAATCTTGAAAAAAAAAAATGATATAAAGATTCTTCCAGTAGGGCAGAGAAATAACAAGATAAAAGAAGGCAGAAGGTAGAAGGTTAATTTCCCATTTTTTCCCACTGTAGCTCAAGAAGGCTCTCTTACAGACAGAAAAAATAAAAACTGATTGTACAATTTGCTCTCCATACAAGTTATTCCTAAGAAACATAGACAGTAAATTTTTTTAAGAGGTGTCTACAGTGAGTATGAATGAAGAAGCCATTTATATTATGACAGCTTCCCGTCCCATGCTGCAAGAGAGCAGAGAAGTCTGTATCAAGACTGGATCATTATTTCTTTCAATGTACATTTGATTTTATTAATAGCTAAGAGTCCTGTTCTATATGAATTTTATTCTTAAACTTAGCAAAGAAAATTACTGAAATTGCAAGCAATGAAAAAAAAAGGAAGTACATAGGTTCAGGTACAAAATTAATAGGAAGACCAATTCCTGGCTCAGTTAAAGTTGAGCGACATTCTATTTCTTACAGCAATTCAAACAAGATCTGCAGAGATGCACATTTTTCAGAATGAACAGAGAATACACTTTGATAAAAGCTACTTTGCTTATCTGCTCCCTTTTCTCATATCAAACATAATCCTGCTCAAGGCCAGAGAAAGTACAGCAGCAGCAAGCCCTGAATAAAAAGCGATCTACAGAGACATCCCAAAAAACATGGCTGAAGATTGGTTTTCTAATCTTCCTTTTTAGAGGGTTTGACTTACAACATTTCTTCACCTAGATTCCTGCTCAGTACATTACCTAGAGGATAGGACAGGAGGAGGGAAGCAAAGATTGCATTTGTAGATTTGTCCAAAGGATCCTGATCACAGTGAAATCAGCACTGTTAAATTCTTTGTATTTAAGTTCCTCCCCTCTAGAGATTATTATTGCAAGGCAAATTACAGAACTGATAAATTAGTTCAGGTTGGCAGGAGGTCATGTAGTCCAACCTGCTGCTCCAAGCCAGGCCCACTACCAAGTGAGACAAGGCTGCTTTATCTGCTGAGATACTGAAAAATCTCTAAAGACAGACTGCACAAATGTCAGGCATCCTGCTGCCTTGTTTTGTTGTCCTCCTAGAAAAAAACATTGACCTCATATCTAGCTAGAACCACACTTACTTCAGTTATGGCCATAGCCTGTGGTCCTGCCCCCTTCCTCATAGCCTGCCAGCTGGTGAGAGCACACTGCCAGGCCCCCATGAAGATTCTTTCTCCTCCGGGGCACTGCTGCTATTCCCTAGCATTGTAGCAGCCTTGTGCTGAACTTGCTCCGTTTTACCCACATCTTTCCTGTACTGGGGTGAGGTGTGGACACAAAACTGGATGCAATACTGCAGATGTGGTTTGACAAGTGCTGAGTGAGAGGAACCTTTCCCCTCTGAGGAGATATTCCTTCCCAGGTGTGTAACCTTACCTTCCTCATTGCTGAATTCCGCAGAGTTCTTGCCAGCCAGCTCCTCCAATCCACCCAAGTCCTTCTGACTGACAGCCTGAATCTCAAGCACATCCGCTGTCCACCCCTTTCCCCCAGTTTAGTGTCACTTGCAGGCTCCATGAGCAAGGGCTGGTGGACTTTCACTTCATGCATAACATTAAACTGGACACATCCTATGATGGACGGCTGGGGCTCTCCACTGTTTACCAGCCACAACCAGCCACCTCCAAAACCAACCATCCCACCAGGCTTCCACCCATCCAGCAGCACACCCACCTAGATCACAACCACATTGTGCAAAAGGCCTTGCTGAATCCAACACAAGCATATGGTTTTATTAAGCTCAGTAGCAATATATTTACTTTGCAAATAGAAAAGCCATGACCTACAAATATTTGGGGAATCAGAGGAATATGGATATAAAGTAAACCACAGAAAGGAAGAGGTTCCCAAACATGCACTTAGGACACCTAACCTTTCTAGTGAATGAGATTTGCTCCTGTCTTTTGTCCTGGCAACTGTCTAAATACCCAAAATAAGAAGACAGGTATCACCCCAGGATTTGCTGACCATCCTGAAGGTAAAGAGTACAATAAAATATTGCAAGCCTCTGAAGAATTAAAAGGAAACATTGGCATTATATGCTTTAAGTCAAGAATGATCTGTTTTCTTCTGTGCCACACAAACTAGAAAACTACATCACTGGATCAAGACGAAGATCCTTCATGTCCCACATGCAAGCAAAATAAAAATATATTAATATTAAGAGCATTTTTCTTAATTTCTGCTATAATTTGATAGCAATCAAGTAACCTCATCTGGAAAAGCAATCATATTTCTGCAATTTCCTTTTTAAAATTTAATTCAGATTAATCCTTTTCAATGCCGGATATGAAGAACTATCTTAATTGGCAATATCCTCATCAAGGTTTCTGTTTTTTAATCAGAGAAGATTCTCATATGCTGCAGCACACTTCAATTGTGATGTAAATACATATTATTATAATACATGTGCAATTAGAATTATTATGGCCAGAGTTTAGAAATGCTTTTTATTAAAAATGTACCAAAACATCATTTAGTATAGTAATTCTGATCACCCTTACATGTAAAATACAGTAATTTTGTCACAGGGAGTATATCCCCTCAGAAATATGGTTTCATTCTCCAGCAAAGCAAGGTCTTAACTTAAAAAAAAGCCACAGAAATGTTATTTATGGATACAGTCAATAAAGCATTTTTTCCCCTCCAACTGTACATTAGTCAGACATTAATTACAAAAGCAGAAAGTCTTGTTTCAACTTGCACTAAATCTGTCCATCCTGGTTTTACAAGGCATAGGTTGTTTTTCAAAATACTGATGACAACTGAGGAAAATTTCCACCAGAAGCTGTTTCCAGCAATGTAAGTGAAAGGATACACTGAAATGAATATTCAGTTACTACTGCTGCCTGCAAACCAGGTTCTGACAGAGATGCTTTACCTAAACATTTTCAGCTCTTTGGGTACTACTGTCCTTGGAAAAGTAACCATGATGTCTCTCATTGAGGACAACTCATTCTATCTGATCATTAAAAAATCATCCAGTTGAACAAATGTATTTCACCTGATGAATAAATATATTAAGAACATAAATAGAGTCTTATTACTGAGTTTCAAAAATACATGGAGTAAAATATGGAAACATATTTCTAATAACAAAGTTAAAATGTACACTCTAGAAAAATAACACTACTTTCATTGATTTTCTAAACCAAAATTTTATTTAAATAAATCAGAAATCAGGTAATGCAGCTGTTAAATCATTAATTACAGGAAGAATCAAAAGTACTAATAGCACCTGCTAAGAACAGCCCTTAGCTTCAAAAAATGTATAATGGAAGCCAGATTCTCACAGAAGTGTAAGTTCTACATCTAGTCCAAACATCAGCAGTCTTCACTCTTTCCTTGAATTAGAAATTATCTAGTAGACATCTTTCATCTCAACCTTCTACAATTTGAAAGTGAAGTTTTTAAAACTTGGCTTAGTCAATCCACAGTTTGCAACAATACTGAATATTAAGTATGAAATTCTAAAAGGACACTGAAGATAAGACTGACAATTGCTTTAGATAAGTGAAAAGTATAAAAACTAGAGACATAGGCTCAAGACTCACTGTAATCCTACCAGGAAATCTAAATATTGCCATCTACTTCTCACTAAGTTGTTATCCCGTTTTACAGATGAGGAAGTAATGTTTACCCTCTTTCTTGGAAGTTTTTGAGGTGTACAGTTTGTATTTCTAAGAAAAAAATATTTATTCTATTTATATATATGATTTCTGCAATTTTTTAAACACATTTCGAGAAACAAGAGATTACAGAAGAGAAACAAGAGTGAATATTTGACCTTGAGCTTGGATCCTAATAGTTCACATTCATGGTTCAGTCCCAAGTAACAAATATTGTACAGTACAGTAAGTTACTGAAACAGATTTTCCCAAGATAATGCCCCTATTCAGCAGTATGTAAGTAGAACAATTTATTTTGCTCTGCTTAACTGCTTCACCCACGCATTTGACATTAAGCTTCAGGCTTCCTGACTGAGCAGTGAACATGTAGGACATAATCAATGTTGTGCAGTTATGCATCACTTCCCACAGCCTTGCTGATTCAGGCATTTCAGAATAAACATGAATCAAGTTTTTGATCTAAAAACACAAGTTTGAAAACATATTTTTCAACTCTTGTTTAGCATTACTTATCATCACTCCCTTAAAAACAAGTTCTACTTTTACATGTTCCTGGTTTCTAAATAACTTACACTATTTTGGTTCAAGTAAAACTCAAGATTCTTTCTGATAAGAAAGTGTCCAACAGATTAAAATCTCAAAAGGTGCTAATAATAATGCAGCAGTTTTCTTCCATGGATATGTGACAGAACTGGAGTCACAATATTCTGCTCTTTGTAAACCACACGCTGACACGTACAGTGACAGTACTGAGAAATGAGAACAAAAAGAATACTAAGTACAGGTCCATACCAAGAATTCTGGTTTAGCCTGCTCATGTGCCTCCAACCTTCTTATGATAAAGAGCCTCTCTCCTGCATGATACACCTGCAGTCTCCCCTAAGTAATTCTCAGGCCTCAGTTTATGAACCAATCCCTGAAAATTTCCAAGCATCCAGGCTTACAGCTTTTCTAGTCGCTGAACTACTTCAAGATTCAGAAATGAATTTACCAATATTAATTCTCCACTAACAGATGCAGTAA